CACATTTAAAAAGATAGTTTTTCTTTTATATAAAAAGAAAATGCTATAAAACGTGTTCTGTCTGCGTTGATATGAAGTCATTCATCAAGTCGCAATTACGAAGACTAGAATAGCGAACAATTTCGTACACGTGCGATTGTTCCCGAATGGAGAAGTAGCATATAATCGCGAGTAAAATAGGCGTAATCGCAATTCGAAAAATAGCATTCTGTCGTAATTGAGCATCAGCCACTATAATGAGAAAGTTACAACAAAGAAATTGCTCATACACTTCTCATGGTATCCTTCGTTGACCGGATGATCCACACAGCTTTACTCGCGTTTGCAGTAATTACATCCCCGTCATTATCGATGGTAATGACAATCAATCGCTTTTCTCATTCCCACGAGTGTAATTAATTTTTTTTCCTCACAAAAGAATGGCTCTAAAAAATTTGAAATACAAAATTTTAGGAATTTTTGCGGAAAAAAAGCGGAGTAAAAGATATAAAAATTTTCTAAAATTTTAGCTCGAGCAAAAAATGCGCTCGTCGACGTGTGACGTTTATTTCTCTATTTATTTGTTTCGCGCAGAGATGAACTATCGTTTTACCGATCATCAATCGGCGATTGGTAACATTCTTGGCCTAATTTGTCGACCTCTCGCGTTTTCCATCAGGAATGATGCCTCTACGGATGCTTCTTGTGAGCACCGTTCTCCAATTCGACTTCGGTCGCGGGGTTTTGGAAGCATCTCCGTTTTTCCATGAATTCAAGGATTTTTTAAGAAATATTAGGTAGCCATCTCTATTTTCCGTTACTATCGTAAATTTTATATATTTTTTTACTGTAGATATCTTTTCGTAAATTTATCGTATCCGCGAACACGCCGCGAAAATGAATAATGATGGAATATTCATTGTTATCGCTATTATATTATTTTCCAAGAATAGATAAGTAGATAATATTCATTGTCGTTAAAACCAAAAACGATTCCATAAAACAATATTACGTGACACGCATAAATCTTTCGGCTGCTATTATACACGAGTCGATGGATTGAGCAATTGAAATATACCGATTGATCGTTGATGTTGCGTAATACTTACGAGAACTTTCGGGACGTGTTTCAAATCGACGCGTGAATAAATTTTGCTTGCAAACAAAGTCAGTCGGATAATTATCACTGTGGGTATTTATACATGGCTTAGCACAGCGTGCATAAAGATAACGTTTAAGATGTAGTTTAATCGATCAGCAGTATTATGATAAAATGACATATGGAAGAAGGCAGGAAAAGATGTTTAACTAAACTAGAAAGATTGTCCTAGAAATTGTGCTAATGCCTCATGCAAAAGCTCAGAATAAAAGATGCAGTTCAATGCAGCGTAAAACATAGCCTCTAATCTTCTCTTATTGTTGTTGCTACTAAAATAAATAACGAGAATTAGGAAAACATAAAAAATTTAGAACACTGAATACATTAATATTTTCGAAGTAAAATAACGAAGTAATCATGTTTAAAACAATTTTTTTTTATTTAACGCTATAAAAGAAATTTTCTCCATTATTTCTCTATTATTTTCTATTTCTGTGACATTACATGTCATGTAGATGCTCTTCGAGTAAATTTTTTTTTTTTTTTAAGTACAATTAAAGTTCGAACTAAATATACCAAAGATAACGAGGTACGTGGTACGTTCGTTAAACAAGAAAAACAGCTAGGATTTAATTACAGTGATTACAACGAGCAAAAGTGTGTGACTCTTAATACGTATTTACAACGAAAAAAATCCTCCAAGACGCGTGCACTTCCGCCATGAAAATCACAATCGTGTCATTATTAAAAATGCTTAATTGGCTAATGAGAGAGTTTGAGAAAAACAGTGTCGTTTAAAAAACATTGTAGATGTGACATACATCCTTTTTGAAAATATTTGACTCTCTATCTATTGTTTCATTACAGATACATGTATCTCGTAAAAATTACGAAGAATTATAGATTTGTTTTAGTAATCAAATTAATATTTTATTTTCAATTGCAAAACTATTTAAAATTTTTAATAACTTTTGCAAAACTTTTCTATTATGAAACATATTTTTATTTTTATTTATTTGAGAATATCAAATAGATTTTTCTTCTTGCTAAATCAATTTTTTATTAATTTTATAAAATACATTCTATTTAAGAAGATTTATGTAACTGTGTAATTTAATTTAATTAAGAAGAATTACTATGCAATTTAATTAAGAAGAATAGGATGAATTAAAAATAATATTGAAATTATAAGCTAAGGAGAAAGGAAATGAAGAAATTAAAACAATTTATTTTTTCTTGCTTTTTAATTGAAGTGTGTATACAAAGAACAGACAGAGAAAGACATTGTCTGTTTAAAAAAAAGCCATATTTTCGCAAGCAAAAGACGACATTTACTGCATAAAATATCGTTTGAATATATGTAAAAGAAGAATGATTCTTGTAAAAAAATCGACAAACAAAATGAAGTTTTGAAATTCGATGATGCGTTTCATTCGTGCCGTGCTTATGAATTCGCGAGAACCTTGAATACCAAATCAGCTATGTAAATTAATTACTCCATTCTTTTGTACACATTCACATATACAATTT